ACATAATCACCGCCACAAGGGGAACAAATCATAGTTATGCTTCCGTTTTCTATGAGTAACGTGAGGGGAGACTAAAAGAGTTGGATGATTATATAGGAATCTGTCGCACCGTGTTAGACGTCCCCCTCGCCAAGGTGCATGCTTATAGTATCTGAACTTAGTGTTTTATGGATAATTGTGTAAAGACTGTAGAGAGAGATTAGTGTATAACTGAGAATAAAGATATATAAAATAATCGATATAGATAAGGCTTAAACTAATATTTCTAATCGACGAACCAAAAATCGATAGATAAACTAGTGAATGGAGAGAGACACTGACAGACAGACACACAGGTAGACAGACTCAGCCCACCAGAAGAAAGTGAAGGTGAATTTAGTGAGGACACACCATGAGCTTGTCTCTGACTGGATGGTAATACAACAACCCAATTACGTCTCCTGACTTCCGAGCTTCTTTGTTTGTGTAAAGTGAACAATGACACGCATGCTAACGAACAGGAAATATATAATTATGCTAAGAAACAAACAAATATAGACCTTCATTACACACGCACACACATAGAGTATAAATAATAAAAACACACACACACACACACACACACACACACACACACGTATCATGTACACTGAACGCATGAAAATATGAACAAGTAACCAAATTAGTTTTTACAGTAAGAAATAAAACCATTTTAGACTTAATATAAACACAATGAATCACTCTTAAAGAACCTACGAGCCACTTGTGTGTGTGAAACATAGAAGTTAATACAATATACATAAGAGTATTATTTGTTCCTCAGGAGGCATTTGCATGATAACATATATCTTAAACTTTACTAATATATAAGTAGTGTTGATGAATATATACAGAGTCTTATAACACAATCTCCTGTTATAAGACTTCAGAATAATAAACTGTGAGAATAATAAATTTTTGTGTATATTTGTGTATTTTATAAGCATTTACCTAACCAAGCATTTGCATGATAATAATATGGAATTTGAGTTAATAATTGCCGATATTTTGTTAATCTTTTCCATGGAGATTAACCCTTGAGATAAGATTATTTTTTACCCTTTGAGTACGATGACTTAACCCCTTGAGTACGATGACTTACCCTTGAGTACGATGACTTAACCCCTGTTTTCTCTCTCTCACCCACCTGGTACCACCACTACCACCACCACTACTACCATCACCACCAACATCATCACCACCACCACCATCACCACCACAACCACTAACAATAATATAACCACCACTACCTATACCACCACCAGAACCATCACTACTACTACTACTACTACTACTACTACTACTACTAATACTACTACTACCACCTCCACTACTACAACAACTACTACTACTACTACTACTACTGGTACCATCATTGCACCGAAATGTATGTATGTATGTATGTATGTAAGTATGTATGTATGTATGTATGTATGTATGTATGTATGTATGTATGTATGTATGTATGTATGTATGTATGTATGTATGTATGAACAAGGAAAGAAGTAAACTAACAATTACTTAATGCAATCCCAATTTATTAATATATTATCTTACATAAACTCTTATTTAAAGATAGTGACGTCTGTGTTAAGATAGTGACGTCTGTGTTAAGATAGTGACGTCTGTGTTAAGATAGTGACGTCTGTGTTAAGATAATGGCGATCCATATAACAGTATATTCTCTTCTACGCACACATGTTCTCCCTATCATCAGTACAGTTGATAGGTAAGATAAGAGGAATACAACAGGTCGGCAATTATCTTGTTAACGAGACAGGTGTTACCGGTAATCTTTGCCCTTACCTTGACCTCTTTACGTGGCGTCCTTATCAACGGTTGCCATGTGTGAGTGTCGACAAGTTGCTAAGTACATTCTGCTATATTGAGGAATTTACTGTTATTTTTCATAGTGATTGTGAGAAATAATAGGAATTTGTTAAGTAAAGGAATAAGTGGATTTATCGATTTAGCAAGTGATAAATTTAACTTATATGATTCTGTAGTTTAGTTTTGTCATTTAGTTTGTATTAAGTGAATGTATCTAGTTAAGATAGTCTCAGTTTTATTCTGACGCCATTATTATTATTTTTTTTTAGGGGGGAAAGATTTTATTTATGGTTAATAATAAATTACTTAAGGTGTAATATTTAACGTTACGACCTTGAGAATCTGGACACTGGCCCTACCTCCTCTCTTGATGTTAAACTCCTCCCACTACTTCTGAACACTGACCCCTCCTCTCCCCACTACTCTGAACACTGACCTCACCTCCCCACTACTCTGAACACTGACCTCCTCCTCCTCCCCCTCCCCCACTACTTGAACACTGACCTCCTCCCACTACTTGAACACTGACCTCCTCCCACTACTTGACACGACTCCTCCTCCTCCCCACTACTCTGAACACTGACCTCCTCCCACTACTCTGAACACTGACCCCTCCTCCCACTACTCTGGACACTGACCTCCCTCCCCCCACTCTTCTGAACACTGACCTTCCCTACTACTCTGAACACTGACCCCCTTCCCCCACTACTTCTGGATACTGACCTCCTCCTCCTCCTCCTGGGCCGTCGTAACCCTAACTATAAGACAGCAGGAAGAGAAGGTAACCTGCTCATTTCTTACCCTCATTATCCCTGTACTGTAAACCCAGACTGGTTCTCTCGCCCATTGCGAGGGAAGGAGAAAGGAGGGAGAGAAGGAAGGAGAAAGGAGGGAGAGAAGGAAGGAGGGAAGGAGGGAGAGAAGGAAGGAGGGAAGGAGGTAGAGTACGTGTTTTAACATCGCTACCATTGACCAGATACTGTACTGTACCTTGTTGTATGGACGAGAAAATTATATCATCTCACATTGGTGCCTGAGAGTGTACCTGTCTGTGATGATGATGATGATGATGATGATGATGATGATGATGATGATGATGATGATGATGATGATGATGATGATGATGATGATGATGGTGATGATGATGATGATGATGGAATAAGAGATGGAGAAGATAAATAAGATAATAAGACAATAAACAATAATTACATAGACAAGACAGAAGATTATATAAATCTTCTCTCTCTCTCTGCTCTGATATCACTACCATTAAACGTTACAACCACCACCACCACCACCACCACCACCACACCACCACCACCACCACCTCTATTCACTACCACAACCACTACCACCACCACAACCACTACCACCACCACAACCACTACCACCACCACAACCACTACCACCACCACAACCACTACCACCACCACCACCACCACCACCACCTCTATCACCACAGTACCAAGATTTCCCATATCTCAACCCGGAGCTAAGGTATCCTGATTGGCGCTACATCCTAGTTGTGCTCAGTGGTCTGGTGTATGGGAGGATCCACGACATTGTTTGGGAATTCCTATCTCTTCAAGTGCCGTAAAATTTCTTTGTTATTACTGTAACAACTGTCGGGTGAGGAGAGAGAGAGAGAGAGAGAGAGAGAGAGAGAGAGAGAGAGAGAGAGAGAGAGAGAGAGGAGAGAGAGAGAGAGAGAGAGAGAGAGAGCATTATCATCTTGCTGTTCTTAGCTGTGAAGAGTAAAGTTAGAAGCAAAAGCTGTCTTCTTGGCTATAGCTGCGACGCTGTGAATGATGTACCGGGCTAGGAGACGACCCTGAGGTCATATTCTGATACACTAAAAGATGGAAGAGGTGGAAGAATGAAGGAAGGAAAAGGGAGAAGAAGAGGAGGAGGAGGAAGAGGAGGAAGAAGATGAAGCCAGACACGTACGCCGTCAAAGTGATAACACGGCGCAGTAAGGTATGGAGGCAGGGGGAAACAGGCAGTTAAGTGTGGGAGACAGGGGGGGCAGGCAGGGAGGTAGGGGAGGCAGGGCGGTAGGCAGGCAGGGGAGGAAGGGAAGCAGGGAGGTAGGGGAGACAGGGGAGGCAGGGAGGCAGGGAGGTGGGAGACAGGGTGGTAGGCAGGTAGGGAGGTAGGGGAGGCAGGGAGGTGGGGAGACAGGCGGTAGGCAGGCAGAGAGGTAGGGGAGGCAGGGCGGTAGGGAGGCAGGAGGAAGGAAGCAGGGAGGTAGGGAGACAGGGAGGCAGGGAGGCAGGGAGGTAGGGAGGCAGGGAGGTAGGGGCAGGCAGGAGGTAGGGAGGTAGACAGGCAGGGAGGTAGGGAGTCAGGGAGATTATTATAATACAGTACGTCGTGGGAGTAAAGGTAAGTGTAAGGGAGCTAGAGGCGACAGACGGCGGTAATTGCTTGTTGAGGGCTTCACCAATCACCGCCGCTCGACCGTATTGTCCGCGACGTGTCCTGGGCGGTCCTGCTGGGCCTCCTCCTCCTCCTCCTCTGCATAGTGACCGAGGAAGAGAGGAAGAGGAGGAGGAAGAGGAGGAGGAGGAGGAGGAGGAGGACGAAAGAGAAAGAAGATGATGTGAAGGAGGAAGAAGATGAGTGAAAGGAGGAAAAAAAAGATGAAAAATTGGGGGGAGGAAGATGGCAGGAAGGTGAAAGAGGAGGAGAAGGAAGATGAGTGTTAGAGGAAAGAAAAGGAAAGGGAAGATAAGGAAGATGAGAGGAAGAAGGAGGAGGAAGAGGAGGAGGAAGAAGATATGGTGGAGAAGGAGGAAAGAGACATAAGGAAGAAGAAGAAGAAGAAGAAGAAGACGGACACTGTCTCGAAAGGTACTGACCGTGGCGGGGTTTCTGGTGGGTGGTGCTGGGCCGGATGTTGTCTGAGTTATGTTTTGGTGAATCCCTCAAGGTGGGAGTCCTCTGAAGTTTTGTGTTTCTGCCTCTTTACTTTTCTTATCATTATTATTATTATTTCATTATTATTACTATTCTTCTTCTTTTTTCTTCCTCATATTCTGCCTCTGTCTGTCTGTCTGTCTGTCTGTCTGTCTGTCTGTCTATCTGTTTGTTTACGTCTGTCTATCAATCTGTCTATAATTTTCATATAACCAAATAATGACCAAATTAATTTACCTAGCAGGGCATGAAGACCTGGCGGGGTACGAGGACCTGGCGGGGTACGAGGACCTGGCGGGGTACGAGGACCTGGCGGGGTACGAGGACCTGGCGGGGTACGAGACCTGGCGGGGTACGAGGACCTGGCGGGGTACGAGGACCTGGCGGGGTACGAGGACCTGGCGGGGTACGAGGACCTGGCGGGGTACGAGGACCTGGCGGGGTACGAGGACCTGGCGGGGTACGAGGACCTGGCGGGGTACGAGGACCTGGCGGGATACGAGGACCCGGGCATGAGGACCTGGCGGGCATGAGGACCTGGCGGGGTACGAGGACCTGGCGGCATGAGGACCTGGCGGGGCATGAGGACCTGGCGGGGTGATGAGGACCTGGCGGGGTACGAGGACCTGGCGGGCACGAGGACCAGGTGGGTACAAAGACCTGGCGGGGTACGAGGACCTGGCGGGGCATGAGGACCTGGCGGGGTACGAGGACCTGGCGGGGCACGAGGACCTGGCGGGTACAAAGACCTGCGGGGCATGAGGACCTGGCGGGGTACGAGGACCTGGCAGGGTACGAGGACCTGGCGGGTACGAGGACCTGGCGGGCATGAGGACCTGGCGGGTACGAGGACCTGGTGGGGCACGAGGACCTGGCGGGTACAAAGACCTGACGGGGTACGAGGACCTGGCGGGGTACGAGGACCTGGCGGGGGTACGAGGACCAGGTGGGGTACAAAGACCTGGCGGGGTACGAGGGACCTGGCAGGGTACGAGGACCTGGCGGGGTACGAGGACCTGGCGGGGCATGAGGACCTGGCGGGGTACGAGGACCTGGTGATACGAGGACCTGGCAGGTGCGAGACCTGGCGGGGTATAAAGACCTGACGGGGCACGAGGACCTGGCGGGTACGAGGACTGGCAGAGACCAGGGGTACAAAGACCTGGCGGGTACGAGGACCTGGCGGGGTACAAAGACCTGGCGGGTACGAGGACCTGGAGGGGTACGAGGGACCTGGCGGGATGAGGACCTGGCGGGTACGAGGACCTGGCAGGAGGCCGAGGACCTGGCGGGGTACAAAGACCTGGCGGGGTACGAGGACCTGGGGTACGAGACCTGCGGTGCATGAGGACCTGGGCATGAGGACCTGGCGGGGTACGAGGACCTGGCAGGGTACGAGGACCTGGTAGGTACGAGGACCTGGCGGGGTACGAGACCTGGCGGGGTACGAGGACCTGGCAGGGGCGCGAGAACCTGGCGGGGTACAAGGACCTGGCGGGGTACGAGGACCTGGCGGGTACGAGGACCTGGCAGGCACGAGGACCTGGCGGGCATGAGGACCTGGCGGGGTACGAAGACCTGGCGGGCATGAGGACCTGGCGGGGTACGAGGACCTGGCGGGTACAAAGACCTGACGGGGCACGAGGACCTGGCGGGGTATGAGGACCTGGCGGGGTACGACCTGGCGGGTACAAAGACCTGGCGGGGTACGAGGACCTGGCGGGGGCATGAGGACCTGGCGGGCATGAGACCAGGTGGGTACAAAGACCTGGCGGGTACGAGGACCTGGCGGGGTACGAGGACCTGGCGGGGTGCGAGACCTGGCGGGCATGAGGACTGGCGGGTACGAGGACCTGGCGGGGCATGAGGACCTGGCGGGGTACAAAGATCTGCGGGGCACGAGACCTGGTGTACAGAGACCAGGTGGGGTACAAAGACCTGGCGGGGTACGAGGACCTGGCGTGGCATGAGGACCTGGCGGCATGAGGACCTGAGGGGTGATGAGGACCTGGCAGGGCATGAGACCTGGCGGGGTACGAGGACCTGGCGGGGTACGAGACCTGGCGGGGCATGAGGACCTGGCGGTATGAGGACCTGCGGGGTACGAGGACCTGGCGGGTCAAAGACCTGGCGGGGTATGAGACCTGGCGGGGTACGAGGACCTGGCGGGGTACGAGGACCTGGCAGGGTACGAGGACCTGGCAGTACAAAGACCTGGCGGGTACGAAGACCTGGCGGGTACGAGGACCTGGCAGGGTACGAGACCTGGCGGGGTACGAGGACCTGCAGGGTATGAGGACCTGGCGGGTACGAGGACCTGGCGGGGTACAAAGACCTGCGGGGTACGAGGACCTGGCAGGGTACGAGACCTGGCGGGGCAGAGACCTGGCGGTGCGAGGACCTGGCGGGGCGAGACCTGGCGGGGTACGAGGACCTGGCGGGGTGCAAAGACCTGGCGGGCATGAGGACCTGGCGGGGGTACGAGGACCTGGCGGGGTACAACTGGCGGGGCATGAGACCTGGGGGGTACAAAGACCTGAGGGGAAGGACCTGGCGGGTACGAGGACCTGAGGGGTACGAGGACCGGGGTACGGACCTGGGGCATGAGGACCTGGCGGGGTACGAGGACCGGCGGGGTACGAGGACCTGGCGGTACGAGGACCTGGCGGGTACAAGGACCTGGCGGGGTACGAGGACCAGGTGGGTACAAAGACCTGGCGGGGTACGAGGACCTGACGGGATACGAGGACTTGACGGGGTACGAGGACCTGGCAGGGTACGAGGACCTGGCTGGGTACGAGGACCTGGCAGGGTACGAGGACCTGGCAGGGTACGAGGACCTGGCTGGGTACGAGGACCTGACGGGATACGAGGACTTGACGGGGTACGAGGACCTGGCGGGGTACGAGGACCTGGCAGGGTACGAGGACCTGGCTGGGTACGAGGACCTGGCGGGGCACGAGGACTTGACGGGATACGAGGACCTGGCGGGGCACGAATTAGTATTTTTAGTGACCAACCTCTGTGTACCCTTGAACTTGCCAGCAGTACACTTCCTCTTCCTCCTCCTCCTCCTCCTCCTCTTAATATTCTTCCTGTTTTCCACCTTTATCTGTGGTGCTTCTCTCTTCTGTTTTGTGACATTCTCCTCTTTCTCCCTCTCTCTCTCTCTCTCTCCCACCTACCTTCCTCCTCCGGCCTTTCCTTCCCCCTCCCTCTCCTCCTCCTAGACCAGAGGGACGATTAGGAATTCCCAGGTTCAAGTTGCTACGAGCGAGTCCCCCCACCTCCCCCACCTCCCCCACCTCCTCCTATGTCTCTTCCCACCTTCTTCTCTACCCCCACCCCCCTTACGGCACACGGGTAGGATCCAGCAACAGGGGAGGTCATTACCCTTTTGCCATTGACCATGACCTTAGTAGGGGTATGGATGGGTATGGGGCATGGGGGGTGAGGAGCTATGGGTGGGGTGTGGGTGAGGAAGGGTGGGGGTGTGGGCGTGGGGTGGGGGAAAGGTGGGTAACGAACCTAACTCAATATCTATTTAACAGAAACAAATATTCATATACACGTAAATAAATTATCTCCCAAAATATATATATGAATATTTAAACTACAATACAGGAAAAAAAAACCCACAGAAATAACATAGAAATATAAATTAAACGATATATAACACAAAAAATAACTTAGAAGAAATTTAACATAGTGAAAAAGGTATTATTTTAAAACTTTGAGAATATTAACTTGAAAAAAATATATTAAGAAGGTTTAGTTATGTAGTAGGTGTATGGGGTACAGGTAGTTGTGTGCTTAGGTAGGTGTGGGCAGGTGTGTGCAGGTGTGTGCAGTGTTGTAGTTATAGAAGATACAGTAGTTTGTGCTGGTGTGTGTGTGTGTGTGTAGTGTTGCAGTTGTGGAAAGATTAGTAAGGCAGGTGTGTGTGTAGTACTGCAAGATAGAGCCATGGTTATAGCACGTGTGTGTAGTGTTGCAGGACAGAAGGAAGGTCGTAGCAGGTGTGTGTAGTGTTGTAGGACAGAGGGCAGGTGTGTGTAGTGTTGTAGGACTGAGGGCAGGTGTGTGTAGTGTTGTAGGAGAGAGGGCAGGTGTGTGTAGTGTTGTAGGACAGACGGCAGGTGTGTGTAGTGTTGCAGGGAGGGAAGAGGTGAAAGGAGAATGAAATATTGACCACAAGACGAAAACAACGACTGATGACTCAGCAACATTAATAGGTCATTAAGCGCGCGCGTACACACAGACACACACAGACACACACACAGACACACACACACACACACACACACACACACACACACACACATACACACTCTCTCTCTCTTTTCAATTGTTCCTTAACCCCCAACAAAGACAAAACAACAACAACAATAACAATAATAACAAAAACAACAACAACAACAACAATAATAACAACAAAAACAACAACAACAACAACAACAACAATCATCTTTCAAACTGTAAGGGGAAAGTGACTGTTTTTTTTTATACCAGTTAATTGGTAATGCATGAAGCGTAGGTGATGGTGCTGCTGATTAGGGAATGGGGAGGTAGTGCGGGGGGTGGGTGATTAGGGGGGTGTTAGTGGGTGATTAGGGGTATTGGTGGGTGATTAGGGGTATTGGTGGGTGATTACGAGGTACGGTAATGGACAAAATGAATATATTACATAAATAAAAAAAAAGTAAAAAAAAAAATAAAGAACAAAAAATACAATGAAATTCAGAGTTACCAACACACTCACTTCCATTGTATAAGTAAACCCATCACTACAGATAATAAATCACCCTTAAGTATCTCATCATACTTAGAATTCACTTTATACAACGAAGTTAAGTAATTTCACTCGTTCAGTTATATAAATTCTCCACGAGTGACAAATTCATATACACAAGAGTGAATCCGGATTTTTATTTCATCGGATTTTCGCATTTGACCCTACACGAACCCTCAGCGTTGGCGACACTTACTAAGCGAGCGCCTCACCTCCTCTCAGCGTTGGCGACACTGTACTGTACACGGTGAAAGGAATGACTGATGGAAGTAAATGGTGTTAGTTCTCGTTCTCTAGTGGAATTACCTCGTTAGTTATGTTTAATGGCCCTTATGATGGCTATTTCTTTGATGACTAGTTTATCTTGAGATGTTTTAACCAGAGAGGGAAGGAAGAGAGTGGGAGGGAAGGAGGAAGAGAGGGAGGGAGATAAGGAGAGGAGGAAGAGAGAGAATCAGGGAGGGAGGGAGGAAGGGAGAAACGAGTAAGATGTAAGGATGTAAGGACGAGGAGAGAGAGAGAGAGAGAGAGAGAGAGTTAATCAAACCCCAAATTATCTCGAAATAATAATAATAATAATAATAATAATAATAATAATAATAATAATAATAATAATAATAAGAAGAAGAACAACAACAACAAAAACAACAACAACAACAACAACAACAACAACAACAACAACAACAACAACAACAACAACAACAACAACAAATAAATAACAACAACATCAGCGAATACATCATCATCCAGGTAGGCCCCATCACCACCATCACCACCACCATCACCACCATCATCACCACCATCACCACCACCATCACCACCACCATCACCACCACCATCACCACCACCATCACCATCATCATCATCATCCTTCCCCTCCTTCAATCATTCACATCCTTCCATTATATATCTTCCTTATCACTGTCTCCTACTCTCTATTCTTTCCTCCACCTTCCGGGTCTTTGTTCTACCTGTTATCTCATTAAGTGCCAGCCTCACCTGTTACCCCTAGTTAAGGTGCCAATTAGGGTGCCCCGTTGGTTTTAGTTCCCTGGGTAAATTAAATCCTGGGTACAGAGACATTGTTTCCCAGTTCCTGTGTTGGACTTGTCGTATTTTTTTTCCTTTAGACTTTTATTTGTTTCATTCATATATATTTTTACCCAACAACGACAACAACAACAACAACAACAACAACAACAACAACAACAACAACATTATTATTATTATTATTATTATTATTATTGTTATTATTATTATTATTATTATTATTATTATTATTATTATTATTATTATTATTATTATTATTATTATTATTACTATTTTTTATTATTATTAAACTAAGTGAATGATAATAAGGGATAAAGGAAGAGGAGAACGGATAGAGGAAGCAAACACGAGGAAGACAGACGAATATTACAGAGAGATGAGGAAACGTGTTCTTATGTAAGTGAGTTTACTGTTATAAGGGGGGGAGAGGGGAGAGTGGAGGGGGATGCATAATGGGCAGGGGATGTGGAGAGGGCAAAAGGGCAGGAGTGGAATGTGGGAAGAAAAGGAGGTAGGATAGTGAGGGGGTAAGGGATAGGGGAAGGAAGGGGGAGAGAGAGAGAGAGAGAGAAGGAAGTAAGATAGGAAGGAAGGAAAGAAGGAAGAAGAGTGGAAAGGAGGAGAGAAAAACGGTGGAAGATGGAAAGCTGGGAGTGGAGGGAGGTGAACAGAGGGAGGGTCACTGACCTAGCAAGTAGAAGGCCACCCCCTTCATTATCTGCCTCCCTCTCTCAATTGTATCTGCATTTTTCTTAAACTGTTTCAATATTATCACAATCTTTACCAGTTCCTCTTCTTCTCATTTCTCTCTCTATCTTACTCTTCTTTCTTCGTCTTCCTCCTCATATATTCGCCAGTTACTTCTATTTCTCCATTGTTTTTTATTATTATTTATCTTCCTTCTTCCTCTTTTATCATCTTCTCTTCTCCTTCACTTTCTCCAACCTCTTCACCCTCTTTTACCTCCACCTTCTCTCTCGTTTCTCCCTCACCTTCTCCCTCTTCATCTCCACCTCTTCACCCTCTTCCTCCTCCACCTCGTCCTCCAGGTAAGGGTCGTAATTGAAGCCGTCACTTAATGTAATCTCACCCTTCAATAAGTCTGATAATACCTGTAAACCTTTTAATAAAACTCTAACGTCAAAGGTATAATATTATACTCAATTGTCTATGTCAATTTGCCTTCATTAAACTCAAGAACCTGGGTACGATAAGTATATTCCCTGGGCACGAGGTATGCTCCCTGGGCACGAGGTATGCTCCCTGGGCACGATAAGTATACTCCCTGGGTACGATAAGTATACTCCCTTGGTAACATAAGTATACTCCCTGGGCACGAGGTATACTCCCTGGGCACGAGGTATACTCCCTGGGGACGAGGTATACTCCCTGGGCACGAGGTATACTCCCTGGGCACCTTAAGGGCCACATAACCTCATTAGAGAGTCGAAGATAAGACTCGGAGCCGTACATATAAACCTGTTGAAGAGGTGGCCGGCCTGGTACAACGACTACCACGACTACCACGACTACCACTACTACCACTATCACGACTACCACTACTACCACTATCACGACTACCACTACTACCACTACCACGACTACCACTACTACCACTACCACGACTACCACTACTACCACTACCACGACTACCACTACTACCACTACCACGACTACCACTACTACCACTACCACGACTACCACTACTATCACTACCACGACTACCACGACTACCACTACTAACAATGAAATATAGTGAATAT